CTGGGTGGGATTTGAAACTTGTCTCTGCTCTTGTATTTTCTGCATTTGGTACATTTAGAGGCTTGGTTACACGCAGGTTCAATTTTTTCTGGGCCAGAGCCCTCCATGGGGGCTTTCTGTGATGGGCACGGACGCCAGGGCTCAGACCCTTTGTCCCCCCAGGGGCAGCACCTCGGACCACACAGCACACATTTTAATTCATCTGTTACCATGTGACTTCACCGGAGCCTGCTTCCTTTACCTAAAAGTTTGGGGTGACGTGCAATTAACAAAGGGAATGGAAATGGAGAGGTTTTGTTTCAGTGCGTGTTTTGATCCTGCCCGGACACCCAGACTGGGGAACTGCAGGGGGCGGGCCCTGTTTCCGACAGGCACATGGACACGGGGCTGGGGCTGGCCGGGGAAGACCAGTGTGGGCTGTAGACGCCCAAGGGAACGAGCTTGGCGCTGCTACAGACTTCACAAACGTGTTCCAGACCCTGAATGTGTTAACTTCCTGCCGAAGGGCCAACTTTGCCCAAGTACCATCTTGGATTAAATTGGTTTAAAGGGATCTTTCCGTGTCCCCGATCTTTGACGAGAGAAGGCAAAGTGGCCTCCTGAAACCCAGTTGAAACTCCCTGCTCCTGACGAGGTAAAACATTTGGGGGGTTAGAGAGTTTATGGGTTTTAGATGCCTCTGTCCAAGCACCCGAGTCGTGACGTGCTTTTTACACAGAGTAACAGCCTTTGCTGTTAAGCAGAGTAACACACCAGAGAACCCACTGAGTAAGAACTGGGCTCTTGGAGATTCCACAGGCCACGGTTCTGACACAGGTCCGGTCAGACCGACAGAAGGGCAAGGCCCAGCTGTTCTGGAGAAAGAGGTCAAGACCATGAGGAAGAAGAATGACCAGCGGGTGGCTGATGGAGTTGGGCTTTGCATGGAGAGCACTTCCGTGTGCTGGACACACGCTTCGTTGTCATAGCGATTATGGAGCAAGATAAAGGCGCTGGCTTTACAGGGGTCTGTGCAGAAAAGTGCTAGAGAGAGGCAAAGGCTTTCTAGTTTCATTGATGCTCTCCAAAGAAGCTAAACAGCTTTCAAAGACGATTTTAAATCTTAAACGGTTAAATTAGATCCAGAATTAGGACTAAGAGAAAATATTTAAAAATCTATGGAGACATGAATGACAGCTTTATTATAACAAAATGTCCCCCAAATAAAAAAAACCCCTAGGGTCATAGAAATAACCCAGCTTCACCAACGTCGGAGGGACTCAAAGTCCCACCGAGGGAGGAATGACATCCGAGCCCTTCAGTGCCGGGTCCTGAGTGTCCGACACAATGGCTGGCAGCTGGTCGGTGTCCAGCAAAACCCGATGAAGGAAGGAAGGAATCGGAGCCGAAAGTGCCAGCGGTCGGATCGAACCTTGAAGGGGACAACGGTGGATGGAGTCCTGACCGGGCGCCATTTGAAACCCCCTTCAAGGCTGCCTCACACACGTGTGGACAGACCCGCCCCACGTCTGGGAAGCTGTAAAACAGGTGGACAGGGTCCAGAGCCCTGGCCGAGTGCTGCTGAGCGCCGGGGTGACGGCCAGACCCACTGTTTGCGTTCCCGTGTCTGCCTTTCGCCGAGCAGTTTACGTTCTGACCGAAACTTCTCGTTTTTAATTTACTCTGCTACTTGTATGTCTAATGATTTAAGAGCACACCGCACCAGTCTGGCCTTCAGGGAACCCTTGACAGGCTTTTTAGGACTGACCTTTACATGCATTAAACACAAAGGGGCCGGAAATCGTGCTTTTCCACAGGAGCCTCTCAGGTGAGAACGGTGGTCCCCCTTCTCTGTCCGGAAACCGCCCTTCCTGTGACTCTGGGGAGTGGCGGCGCCCTGCCCGTCCCCACCGTGTGTGGCTTCTGTGAGCCCATCCAGACGTGGACGGACATCGCCCCACCGTGCACAGAGTGGCCACCTGCAGCTGTCTGCTCCGGGGTCAGCTCCGGCCATTCTGCCCCAGTGAGTCGCCCCTCAGCCCAGGCTGTGGCGTCCTGGGCTGGAGCTCCTGCCACCGGCAGGGCTGCCTGTGACCTGCGCGGTCTCAGGCCCTGTGAACCACCAGCTCCCCAGCCTCCCCACTTCCTGTGAGGACACAGGGAGAAGAGGCCAGGGAGCTGGACCCCCTGGAGGCTTATTTTTGTCTGTCGGCATGTGTGTGCACCTTGTCCCCATAGGCAGGAGCCAGGCTTTGCCTTCTGGGGACAACACTGCCAGCTGACTGCCAGGGTGGCCGTGCTGCTGCTGCTGACCGGGCGGAGCTCAGCCGTGTAGACTGTGCTGAGAGCATCCGAAGAACAGGGAGAGGCTTCTGCATAAGAAAGAAAAGGGGGGAAAGGGATTCGTGTGCTTTGCTGGTTCGCAGACCACTTTCCAAGGCCCAATTTGAAGGCAGCGCCCAGGTCAGCCCGTGAGCCAGGCTGAGCCAGGGGAGGCACGGAACCCACCAGTCCCCTTCTATCTGCTCCAGACAGGGCGTGGGCGACCTCGCAAGGTGTATACTGACGTGAGGTGGCTGCGAACCACAGAGCCCTCGCAGAAGTGACTGTCCACGCACAGGGTCCCCTGGAAGCACCAGCGAGAACTCGGGGCACAGGGACGGGGGTGGGGCACAGGCTAAGCCCGAGGACATGGCAGCTGACCTTTCGCATCCTCATGGAGCAGGGAGATGAGCAAGGTGAGAATGCAGAGGAAATCTGAGAAAAATCACACGCTTTTTACTCCCGCTTGCGAAGAAAGGGACAGGACAGCCGTGTGTTGGAGAGACTCTTCCTGGTGCCTCTCACATCCTCCGCACTGGTTTCCCAGAGAGTGACTTGATGAAGAGTTTGTCACAAGCAGGTGACTCCCCAGGACAGAAAGTCAGAGTTTCCAGCTCTGATGGAGCAGTAGGTGGGAGGAAAGCTTTTCATTTAGGTTTTAACTCAAAGAGGATGGGAAAGGGGAAGGGGACGGATACCCCATCTTTGGCTCTGGGTCTCAGAAGGGATCCTCTTCAAGTTCTTAAGTCAGTGTGTGGGGGAGGAGGGGGAAGGGAGGGGAGTAAAGGTAGGGTGTGGGGGAGGGGAGGAGCAGGGGCCACAGGGTGGGCTCAGTCAGTTCTTGTATCAGAGTCTGAGATGCAGATCACTTAATCTTGCCAACTCAGCAGTGAACCCTTGGGAGCCAGTAATTCCCAACGAGATGTGATAATGCGTTTCCCAGCCTGAACTTCAGAGCTTGGGGACTGGTTTGGGGAGAGAGGAGGCAGGGGGTCCGATTCTCCTCGAGTTTCTGCATAACAAAGACAGATCCTCCCTCCCAAACTCAATGAAAATGAGGGACCCCAGGAGGGCAACTCCCACTGCCGCCCTCTCCACATTCCCCTTCCTTTCTGTTTGCACCCATCGGTCAGGAGGTTAATGCAAACACACCCTAAAATTACCAAGACCGTGAGCCAGGCATGAACATTAGATGTCCACTCAAGTTGGAATATTCTGTCTGGACATTAAGAAAACCCCACTGGCTTTAAGGTCTCACGGTTCTGTCCAATGGGCTGGGGTACGTCTGAGGTGCTTAGGAGCTGGGGCTGCTGTTGCCCACCTGGGAAACAAAGGCAGGAACGCGGCCCCACCCCCGAAGAAGGGAGCTGCGCCCTGCTGCCGTCAGCAGTCAGCGGGGACTGCGCTGCTCTGCTCCGGGACCGCGCGGAGCTGGGGCTGGGATTTCCCACCTTCTTTGATGTGCCTGTCCCTTCTCTCTCCTCGTCTGTCCATCCGTCTTTTTATTGTTCTGTCTCACTCTTTGTCTTTTAGAGACTATTCTCATCCTTAAGGGTGGACCGGTATGTACATAGTATTCTCTCTCAAGTCCCTTAAACATAATTGCCTTATTTTCATTGGGCACCAGTCACCACTGAAGGAAAAGTGCGTGGTCCCAAAGGCTGTCTCGGAGCACTGCTGTGACAACAGACGCTCTGACGGCAGGACATGCTTCACAGACGTCCCCTCACCTGCTCACTCCGGAGGGCCGGCTCTAATGAAGCAGGGGAACGGCTGCCCGAGACAAACCGAGGGGAAAAGACACTTGCTTTTTTTTTGGTCTTCTAAGGTTTTCACGGGGGCCTCAAAGGAAAGGCGAACTCATCATCTGTTTTGAAGACTTACGCAGGCACCTCGCATGTGACAGAAATCTGAGACTCCCGAATGCTGGAGCCACAAGCACTCAGCCTGAAAACAGCAGCTCCACTCAACATTTATTTCCACTGGGAGACAGGGGACCTCAGGTGTAGACTGTGGACGGCACCGGCTCTCCAGCCTGGACTGGTCCCCACGAGTCTGTGTACCTCTAGACACAAATGTAGGACTTTTTCAGAGACAGACAGGGCAGCGGGGCAGTTAACCAACGGCCAGTACTGTGAATAGCAGTAGATACGAGGTCTTGTCATATAAATTAATTGCCATTACAAAAAGGCAACTGTTTTAGCTAAAAAGGTACCAATAACAGGTAACTTCCATAACTGTAACAAGCAGCAAAGTGGAGGAATACGTAACAGACTGTTTTTCCTATTGGACTTTGCGAACTAAGACACCTGTGGCACCTCACACTCAGGGAGGGACATGACACCCACAGCCACCACCCGCCCCGAGTCCCCGCCAGCCCCCTCCCCCCATGTGGGTTTCCCAGGCGCAGCACATTCCAGGGTTACGAGGACAGGGTGCTGCTAGACAAGAGGGAGCGTTATCGACAGTTGTAAAGCATTAGGCGTCAGACAGAAACTTGTCAGAAACAGCTGCTGTTGGGCACTGATTGATCGTGTTTTCGCTCTGCCGGCTGAGGCGCCGCAGACAGCCGCGGGTCTGGGGAGAGGCCCGTCGCCGCACGCGCACACACAGACACGGGAAGTCGTTTAACAGATGGCTCGGGAGCAGCGAGCCGCAGAACGCGCGCTGTCTCGGAGAGACGACACTCCACACTGATGAACTCGCAGAGGCGGCGACGCCTGGCAGTCGTTTATTTGTCAGAGAGGAGCGCACAGGACAGAACAAAGCAGGGGCCCTGTAACCGGTCTTCGGAAGAAAAGTTTCCTGCCGCTCCCCGACCACGCCGAGTAAAAACCGTCAAGGAGGCTGCAGACAAAAGTGCCCGGGGATCTTCTTGATCCACTCAATTACAAAAAAGGCTTACACAAGGGGTTGATGTCTCAAAGGTAACAAGGTCATTAAAATCCGCCCCCAAGATGACACCAAGAAAGTGAGAGTGAAACGGCACGTCTCCTGGGGGGTGACCGGGCATCTCTGTGGCACGGGGTGAGGCTGTGGGGTTTGGGAATCAGCCAGGCCACCCAGAAATCGAAAACAGGCTTTTATTGCTCAGGTGAAGGGAGCAGTTTGCTGTCATCGGGCCACTGAGTATTTTAAGCGGTCAAAAATCCACAAAAATGTCCCAAAGAGTATTTCGGCCATAAACCTCAATATCCATAGATTATTCTTGATTTAGAAAAGGTCGAAGGAGCCAAACTCCAGTAAAACTGTACATTTATTTCTATGTAATTTTATTATTTAAATTAGATGAAAAAAATTTTGTTCCCAAGATGAAATCTGGGCCCTAAAATTATTCACTTGGTGCAGCCGAGCACGTGGAAACCCTGAAAACAGAGGTTTGTCAGAGAAACCCGGACGGGCCCCGCAGTGCGAGGCGGGGGCCCTGACCGGCTCCCGGGGCCACGACGGCCTCCGTGACTGGAGCGCAGAGGCCAAGGCCAAACCCACGCTGGCACCCACCTCGGCCACCTGTGCCGGACTTCACTCGGCGGTTATTAAAAATTTCATCTGTTTTTGTAAAAATTATTTTTCCTATTTTGACTAGATACAAGACTTTTAGAAAAAGATACCTGACTTCATGCAGGATGGTCTTTCCATTGATAAAGGATCTGCGGCCCCGATGACATGGTCATCAGCGATGCCGCGTCGGCCCGCCGGCCCCGCCCTCCCCGCCCTCTTCCCCAAGCACAGCCAAGGGCTCTGCCCCTCAGCGGGTCCCTCGGCTCTCCCGGTCAGTTTCGGCAAGGCGGGGTCCCTTTCTGGTAAGGAGAGTGATGGAAGGGTCTGGTGCTTGTTTTTCTCCCATGACCTGTAAGGCCAGTATACAAAAAGTGAAAAAACACGAGATAAAAATAAAATAAAAAACCCCAAGAGATCTTGCATATGGTGCACATATTCGGGGGGCCCAGGCGCATAACACCCCGCCCTGAGCCAAGGGAGGCTGGGCCAGGGCTCTGGGTCTCCCCAAGTCCGTCACTGGGGAGCAGGTTTCTGGGAGCCCCGAGCTCCATGCGTCTCCGCGCCCGGAGGGGCCGAGACGACAGAGGGAAGAGCCGTGCGCGGAGGGTCAGTGGTGAAGGGAGAGTGAGTTCTCTCAGTAGTGTGTGTGCTGACGCGACTCCACGGCGTGCGGAGCGCTGGCTCCGACAGAGAGGAGAGTCTGAGATTACGGGGGTGGGGAGACAGACACCGAGGCCACCATAATGACGTCTTGATACCAAAATAACGTTAAAATGAGACACTAACAAGGCAGGTTCAAGGCCTCCGGGGCCCCGTCTGCTCTGCCGGGCTTCACATTCTTGTGGCGTCGTGGTCTTTCTCCTCTAACAAGCGAATCAGCTGGCAGAAGCTGTCTTTCAAGGCCTCCACGTTGTCCAGACAGCAGGGCTGCAGAATCCAGCGTTTGCCACGGGCCAGGGGTTCAAGTTCAAAGTATTTTTTGACCTTAAGGAGGACAGAGAAGATAAACATGTTGTTATTAATTATATCAGAACTTTTCTCACACCAACATTTTGAGAGTGATGAAGTAGGGGGGGGTTTCAAGGAGAACATATCTGAATGGAGATGCCCAGAACTTTCTAGAACCCCATTCACAGCTGCAGTTAGAATGCGGGTTACATGCAGCCCCAGGAGCATTTTCTTTTGGGGAAGAAGGGCCCCTTGTGAGTCCCCATTGCATCTGGACACTTGGCAGCACAGGGCACAGCACGCGGCAAACGCCGGCGCGGGCCCACGCCGGTCGGGGCGGCTGTGGGGAGGCGGCTCTCGCCACGTTGGCTGCTCACTGCCCAACAACCCACGGCAGTGCCCAAACTCTACCAATGACCTAAGACCACCGACTTGACCGATCCCACACAGAATGAAAAATGAGATCTAACTCGTCTTTTCCCCTCTTCTTTGATCATTGCGTGTTTCTGAGACCTGGCTTTCAGGAAAGAGGAAGGGAACCAAGTGTGTGGAACGTGCGTGTGAACTTGTAAGAACATACACACATACATGGTGTTCCCAGCTTTCCCCCTCCTTGTCCGAAACTTTCAGGCAGGGACAAATCAAGACCTCGTAACTAGTCTGTGGGGTGGAGTGTCCGCTACCTAAAATAAGTGGCTGTTCGACCAGTAGCCAGTCCCTCACCTTGCCTGGGGTGTCAGCTGGGATGCTGACAGTGCCCAGGATTGCAGACGGTTTCAGACGGTCACGGCTTTCAGAAGTACTGACGGTCTCCTCCCAAAGGGCAGAGCACAAAGTCCACCAATCGACACACACACACACATCACACCAGGGCCCCCGTATATACAGCCCTGCCAGGCTTTCGCAACACAAAACACAGTCAGCACCGACGCCAGAAGAGGCCTGTGCAGAAACACCCTTGGCCAACAGATTCCATCACATGCAAGGCACCGAGGGAAATGACCTCGGTCAGTGCTTGACCCAGACAAAAAAAGCGTCCCCATCTTCCCGCCACTCCCAAGTGCGGCTTCACTGTGCCTTCCTCATCACGAGCACCAGTCCAGTGTTAACAGCGAGGACGCACCACTCCAAGGGGCATTAACATGTGTGTGCATTTCCTGTGTGAGTAAGAAGGTATAAACAACACATGTTTACGCGAATTCAGGGACCACAGAGAAGCTGGCAGGTGACAGCCCCAGTGTGCCGCACACGTCATTGCCCTGTGGATGTCTGCAGATTCATAATAAATATTACATTTACTAAAAAAATAGAATTGAAGGGCCCTCATCCATTTCGGTTCTGAATTATAATGAAAATGTTGTCTGCAGTCAGAAAATGAACACATGGCTTCAGAAAAATTTTTGTCAAAGGTTTTTTTTTTTTTTTTATTTTTTACAAGTCACAGTTAGAGGGTTCTCTCCCTTGGAAAAGGTAGATTCCATTCTTTCAGTTTCCTTTTTTTTTGGACATTGAACACAGCTTCCTGGCAAGAGAACCAGGAATGGCTCAGAAAACGACCGCCATGGGGACCAGCGCCCACCCCCAGGGAGCCGGCCTGCCAGGCAGCAGCCAGGGAGCTGCGCCCAGCACTGGGAGAGAAGAGTGAGCGGGGAGGGCAGTGGGGGTCGGGGCCGGCTGCTCCGAGCACTTCAACATCAGAAACGCCTGCTTCTCCCATGAAGGGAGGCTTCAGGCCCGATGACGCAGAGGACGCAGACGACAGAGCGGTGGGGAGCCCATGGCTACCATGCTGCCTGTACCTCCCTTCCCCGGAGTGCAATCCGGGGAGGCAGTGGTGGTGCCCTTGCTGCATTGGCGGCCCGGAACCTGCAGGGACAGCACCTGAGTAGTGCTGGCTCCAGGAGAGAGAGGGCTGTCACCGGGGGTGGGACAGCAGCAGACGCACAGAGTCCGCCTCTGTGACAGTAACACCAGCACCGCTTCCTCCTAACGGCCCTTTCAGAGCCCACAGACTTGGTCCTGGCAGCACGGTAACAGCGCACTTGAAAACAAGGTTAGATTTACACAATCGTGAAATGTGATTTGTGATATTTCGCAATTCGGGCCAGACACACAACGAGGCAGTCAAGTTTATTGCTGCCCATTAGTTGGTCTCCAGGCAACCAGACACGCGGCCCATCAGGCAGCCTCGCTGGGAAGGTGATGAAGACAGGTAGTTCCAGGAGCTGCTCCCTCCCCACACCAAACGCCAGAGGGGGCGGAGCTGCGACTGCAGGGTGCTCACCAGGTCCCGGAGTCTGCCTCCTGAAGCTGACCGGCACGGCTGGGTGGCTGGGTGGCTGGGTGGCCGGGGCGACGGAGACTCTCCGACCGGTCACCCAAGCAGGTGGGGGTCCAACCCGCCCCCTCCACCCTCTGCCGTCTATTTTAAATCAAGTTCGGTGCTGCGGCGACACTCAAGGCTGGCGAGTGACTGTGCGCCCCCAGAACAGGGCTCCCCTGACCCAGATTCCAGGTTTCCAAGGACAAGGAGTGCTGCCGGGGGAGAGGGCGCGACGCGGCCTCACTGCCTGGCGGGAACTTCCCTCCGGGTACCAGTCCACTTTAGACTTCGCCTGCTACCTGGACTTGTCTCTGCCTCCCGTCTCATCACAGCAACAACTACAGACGCACTTCACTTACCTTGCCTTACGTTGCTTTTTTTTTTTTAGTCCTTCCATTGGCTGAGGTATAATTTTAAAGAAAGGTGTTTAAGTTGAACCAACATAAATTGTATGCAGACATCTGATGCTATTTTTGAGATCCTGTCATAGAAGGATCTATTTTTTTTATGATGGACATAGTTTTTAAAAGTTACTTTCTTATCTAGGTATAATTTTTGACTTCAGAGAAATAAACCCAAGTCTCTGAAACAGATGACCAGCTGCCCTGGTGTCACGGTTAACTGGAAGCTGCTGGGGTAAGGGGACGGTGGTCGTTTCGTGTTGGCTGCTGGAGAATCACTCGGCCACCTGGGAACCCGGGGTCACGTAGCCAAAGAGGGCAGGTGTGGGGTCATGGCCCCGTGTCCACCCTAGAGGTAGGACGACAAAGCCACAGTGACTAGCCAACCTCCTTCAGCTGTGCCCTGGGGCCCTCTGCAGCCCACACAAAGCCTGTCCTGTGTGCCTCGCCTTGAACGGGGTCGTCGGCCTCACAGCCGAAACCGCACTGTCCATTCTTCCCGACCTGCTGCGCCGGAGTTTCCAGGGGTCGTGTGAGCAGCGTCTGAGCTGTGACAACAGGCCTTTCTGAAATCCCGCGCAGCCCGTTGGATTTGAATGTTCGCTGCTTGTCCTTCCTGGTCCCGTTATTAGCCACGTCGGGTGTACCCAGGCCGGGCCTCGTTTTCCTGCAAACCCTCTGCGGGGCAGGCGGTGGGAGCGTCCAGAGGGATGACCTCGTTGGGTAATTCACGCTAGGAAGCCTGTGAGCGACGCGGCCAGGACCTCTCCCCAGAGTCGGCTGTCAAACACTCGCCAGCACCTCTCGCCTCCCAATGTCTGTGCCTTGTGTGCCTGTTTGCAAAGCCGCCCCTGGCTCTCCTGTCTCAGCCGCAGAAGCTCATAGAGCGGGCTGAGCTCGGTGACCTTCACCTGAGTCAGAGAGGCCGTGACCCGAACCGTGGCTCCGGGACTGGGGCCGGAGACCAAGTGCCAGGGCGGCATCAGGGTTCCTCAGAGCACATTCTTGGCAGCTGGTTCAAAGCAAGGTTTGTCCACAGAGCAGCCCCAGCTGTCCCCGCGTCACCGTCCGGGCACAGGACTTTGAAATCCTTAGAAAGGTACTAAATGTGTCATTAAAGGCAGAAATAAACAGGACGGGTAAACCCGATTTGCCACGGTCCCAACCGCAGTACCACTCAGAGCAGGTACTGCCGCTGAGCACTGGCAGGGGCCAGAAATGGCAACTCCGGGCGACCAGCACCACAGGGGCACCGTGGGGGCGCGTTTAGAAAATGCGTGATTGCTTTCAAGAACACCAGGGATAACACGGAAGTGCAGCTCTGACAAGACGGCTCCTTTCTCAGGCGAAATGTAGCCTGTCTGACCTTGGAACAACGGACAAACGACAGGGCGCACAGGCTGTGACCAGGCCTGGTCCTGATGGGAAGCCCTCATGCCCGGCAGTAGCGTCCCACATGCGTGGCATGGTCTGCGTGTTGTAACAACGGTCACACATAAACCCGGAACTTGCACAGAACTTGGTGTGTCCTGGAGGCGCCAACAACAACACCCCCATGTGCTCCGGCGGTGGCTCTGAAAAGCACCCCTACTTTTGCTGAACCTGTGAACCTAGAAGGCCAGAACAAATCACACCAGTTTTCGCTTTTCTGGCACGCCTGGTTTTCTCCCTCCCCAATTCCGTCCCAAAAGCTTGCTCATGGGACGATGACTGGAGGAGGTAGAGGATGGGGTAGGTGCATTCTGTTTTGGGGACCAGGCCAGTCGGCCAGCATCCCCGCCTCCGGGCAGACAAATGAAGCCCAGAAATGCTCTTAAGTCCCCCTGATGTCCTGCCGTCACCGCTTGGGGAAGCCTGCAGGGTACAGAAAAGTCCTTGCAACCCAGAAGTGACCCTCGTCACCCTGGCTGAGGCCAGTCACCTCCCAGCACCCAGGCACCAGAAATCCCCTGCACGCTGGTGAGATGGGGACACAGCTTTGCTTATTCATGGGTCTGCGGCTGCTTTCCTGCCCCAGCGGCAGAGTTAGGAGAGGCCACGGAGACGGCGTGTCCCTCAGAGCCTAGCATATTTACTGTCTGGCCCCTGCCCGAGAAGCAGCTGCCAGGCCCAGCCAGAGCAGGGCCCAGGGAGCGCCTGGCAGCGGCCCCCCCTTCTTCATTCTGGCTCACGCGTTCGGGGAGGAGAGAAGCTGGCCCCTGCCGCCTGGCCAGCTCCACGACGACTGCAGACGCCTGGCTGGCGTCTCGCAGAAGGGGCCTCTCTCGGCACAGCCTGGGCTTCCCTCCCCGTGTCCGCCTGGGCTCTTCCGT